ATATATATGAGGAGCATAGTGAAACGTATAAATGCCGAGTTTGGTCAAGATATCTTGAAAAACAAAAAGTTTTCTAAACAACAACTTTGTTTTCGACCGATCGTTCCTATGGAACCTATGTGATAGAGTAATGCGATGTTGATAGGATTTAGCACATATAGGGGGAGCACAATGAAACCAATAAATTCTGAGTTTGGTGAAGATATCTTGAAAAACAAAAAAGTTTTTTATCTTGTATAACCTACTTTTCGACCGATCGTTCCTATGGCAGTTCGACGATATTGTGTTCCGATGCAAAAAAGATTTTGCATATATGTAGAAAATATTGTCAAAATTATAAATGCCGACTTTGGTCGATATCTTGAAAAACAAAAATCTTAATTTTCGACCGATCGTTCCTATGAAAACATGAGACATATGTCGCGTGGAAGAAAGCGACACATACTTCTTATAAAACATACGAAAAATACGACGGTTGTTCAAAACATTATCAAGCTTTAGATATAATGATTTATTATGATATTTATTTCGCGAACTAAGAAATCATTAAGCAACGTTCTTTTTTCGGCAAGGCCGAAAGATCTTCCCTCCGCTTTGGCCTTAGCCGAAGAGGTCGAATCTAGTCACGAACGTCACACGTTCACTAGGAATTATCCTATTAGTGTAGAAGAAAGGGATCAAAGGAACGAGCAGAGACAACGTCTCAAGGATAAAAGCTCTACAACCACAACCTATGTATGTAGACAATTCGTCACGGTTTGGTCAAACCCCACTACATCAACAAAATAGCCAAGCTAATACCTTCAATACCCAGAGGCAAACAGACAAAAAATCAAACAGTGGCACTACAAGGTTTAGAAGACCCACTTGACTATGACACCCGTGAATATCATACTATGGCAAACCAAGAGCCAGACGACATTAACGGTGACCGCGCAGAATACGATAAGGGTAATGTTTTAGATACAACTCCTTGTTACCTCTATGACGAACACAATGATCAAATATTTACAAGTCAGGAAAAGGTCAGGAAAATGATGAATTGCGACAACAAAATATTCAAGCTTAAGAAGAAGATGTTTAGTCCGATATTTGCAATACATAGCGAGCTATCACTCACATGCACCATCGAATCAAAGGACAAATCAGTCAACTGCTTTCAAAACCAAATATTAATAAAGGAAAGTATAACTGACTCGGATCGAACTGTAATTCCGTTTGGCGAACATTTGCGATACCTCATAAGTTTCTCAGATAGAGAAAGGCTAATGAAGAGGAATTGTGATGTTGTCAAGAAGGATGTAATAAACGCAATTCTCTGTGAACTGCCAATATTAGTATTTGTTTAGCAACAGTTACAACGGTTTCAACATTCCGCCACACGAAACGCATTGTAACCGATACAAACAGAAAGAAATAGTTTTCACGGAACATAATAGAGCCCACGGACCGCTCAAGAAAATGTAAAACAGATAGCCATAGAAGATATGGCCCTTAAAGCATTGAGTGCAAAATATAAATTTCCAAGTAGGAGATAAAGTCCCTGTAAAATCATATAAAAGACAAAGAAATAAACTTACATCCTTTGGCAATGAGGAAACAGTGGATGCTCACTTGGGGAACACACTCTTAATAAAAAGAAGGGTGATTCTCAGGGATCTGGACTATGCTATTTTTTTTCACAATGACAAGGGCAAATTGACTGACTACTCGAATGCGAACTACATCTCGGTTATGGATGAAGACACGACAATTGGAAAAGACTTTCATAATTTAAAGCAGTCCACTAACTTAACAATGTACGCGGAAATGAGCATTGAAACAAAGAAATTGAAGAACCATTTTCCTCAATCGCACTTGAGACAGATGCTGGACTCAGCCATACGACACTTGAGAACCCTCCTGACAACAATAAATATCTAGCATCGGCACGCTAGAAGCATCAGTATATTAGGCACCATTATAAGGGTAGTAGCTAGGACTCCGGACTTTGATGACTTTGAAAGGCTCAAAATGACACAAAAGGAGCTCATTGAATTTGAAAATAGACAGGTAAACATCAATACAAAAACGCAATAACAGTTAAATAAACTCACAGATGCAGTAAACATTCTAATGAAAAATTTAAAAAATGGCCAAATAAATACAGAACACTTATACGAAACATTGCTCTTAAGAAATAGGATATTGATTTAGCAACTTAAAACTCTAATCCTAGCCGTTACACTCACAAATATTGGAATTGTTAACCCGGAAATATAAGACCCCAATGATTATCAAAACATAATCAATAAGCGTTCTTCGAACATAACCATACTGACTTGGCGGAAGTAATCCAAATTAAGGTTTTATAAAATAACAATTTTGTATACTTCATAATTAAATACCCCAAGCTAAGTTTAATATGTAAGAGAATACTTATACCCTGTACAACACAATAACAGAACCTTTAACCTTGCCAACGAAAACATCATAGCCCACTGCCGTAAGGAAATATTACCAATTGGAAACTGCAGAAAGGTTTCAATGAAGTCCGAGCACGTTTCTCACCTAAGCAAGGGAGAAGTTAACACGATTACCCAACAAAAGACAAAAAAAAAAACAAAACACTAAACAAGCATGCATAAGTGGCGTGTTGCGAAGCACCGTCAGCGGCTTTTCCGGGCGCTGCCGGCCGATGTACGATACCGTGCTGGAGGCACAATAAGCGATTTCAGGGAGTTGGGCTACATTATACAAAACAGTGTTCTTTAGATTGATTTGAATTTTGGACAACAAACCATACGGTACCTACGAGCCCCTAAACTGCTCAATTTACATGTACAAACAAAGGTACATTCATATGAGCGTCTTTTTTTAAATTCTTTAAACATTTTAATTATTATACCCTTGCAGAGGGTATTATTATTTCGTCGTGAAATGTGTAACGCATAGAAGGAGACATCTTCGACCCCATAAAGTATATATATTCATGATCAGTATCAACAGGCGAGTCGATATAGCCATGTCCGCCTGTCCATCTGTCCGTCTGTCTGTTTCTATGCGAACTAGTCCCTCAGTTTTAAAGCTATCTTTATTAAACTTGCCGAAGTGCCTCTTACTGTTGCACATATGTCGGAGCCAGCTGGTTCGGACCACTATATCATATAGCTGCCATAGGAAAGATCGCACTAAAAGTAGTTTCTTGTATGGAACATTTTTTTGTTTTTCAAGATATCTTGACCAAACTCGACATTTATTAGTTTTACTATGCTCCTCATGTATATGCAAAATCCTATCAACATCGGACCACTACATGATATAGCTATCATAGGAACGATCGGTCGATAAATAAGTTGTTGTATGGAATATTTTTTTGTTTTTCTCGATATCTTGACCAAACTCGGTACTTATTAGTTTTACTATGCTCCCTACATAAATGCAAAATCTTATTTACATCGATATACTATATCATATAGCTGCCATAGGATCGATCGGTCGAAAATTAAGTTCTTGTATGAAAAACATTTTTGTTAATCAAGATATCTTGATCAAACTCGGCATTTATTAGTATTAGTATCATATCAGATCATATAGCTGCCATAGGAATGATCTGTCCAAAAGTAGGTTCTTGTATGAAAAACATTTTTGTTTATCAAGATATCTTGATCAAACTCGGCATTTATTAGTATTAGTATGCTCCTCATATATATGCAAAATCCTATTAAGATCGGACCACTATATCATATAGCTGACATTGGAACGATGGGTCGAACATTAAGTTTTTTTAAGGAATTTTGTTTTGTTTTTCAAGATATCTTGACCAAACTCGGCATTTATTAGTTTTACTATGCTCCTTATATTTATGCTAAATCATATCAACATCGGACAACTATATCATATAGCTGCCATAGGAACCATCGGTCGAAAATTAAGTTGCTGTATAACATTTTTTTCTGTTTTTCAAGATATATTAAACAAACTCGACATTTATTAGTTTTACTATACTCCGCATATATATGCAAGATCCTATCAACATCGGACCACTATATCATATAGCTGCCATAGGAACGATCGGTCGAAAAATAAGTTGTTGTATGGAAAACATTTTTGTTTATCAAGATATCGGCATTTATTAGTTTTACTATGCTTCCTCCATTTATACAAAATCTTATTTACATCGGACTACTATATCATATAGCTGCCATAGGAACGATCGGTCGAAAATTAAGTTGTTGTATGGAAAACTTTTTTGTTTTTCAAGATATTTTAACCATACTCGGCATTTATTAGTTTTACTATGCTCCTCATATATATGCAAAATCCTATCAACATTGGACTACTATTTCATATAGCTGCCAGAGGAACGATCGGTCGAAAATTAAGTTGTTGTATGGAAACCTTTTTTGTTTCTCAAGATATCTTAACCATACTCGGCATTAACAATTTTCTCTGTGCTTCTTAGATACGGGCAAATCAGTGTGAGCATTATAAAAAGGTTGGTCTGCAAGAGTATTAAATCTTCGGCATGCCGAAGAATGCCCTTCTGTCTCGTTTTAATTCATTTTTTTTTTCGTTGAAACTAAATTTTTGATATAGCTGTGGATTATGAGGTGATGGAAAATGGTTCGGTCGGTTGAAGTTAGTTGTAAGTTCGCAGGAGGGGGGCTTTTCTTTTAAATTTATGTTCAAACAAACGATCGCGTAACCCGACCTGCATTTATTGTTGTTCAGGGTATCCCCTAGTCGGGAGTGCCAGACACTTTTACTAGTTTTTTTTTTGTCAGCTATATGCACAAAACTCATGTATGATTCCTGCTACTGATTAACATTTGAATTAGATTTCGTGTAAGCAAATCTAAATAAGTTGACAGAACGAACGAATTTGTTTGTTTTAACAGTTGGCCACGGGAACACAAGCACCGGTAAATGTTTTAGTGTGACAAGGATGCCCTTACTTTTATGGGCACATTTGCTGTAAACACAGCTGATCGGCAAAATCTTAATTAAAACTAAATCAGTTTAAAGAATCCCACTTTATTTGAAGAACAATTTTGACACCCTTATAAATAAAGAACAAATAATGTTTTTCAATCGCAAACGTGAACAGGACCTAAATCAAACTGAAAATGTTCGGTTAATCGAGCTCGGATTCAAAATATTTATATTTTTGATCAGCATCAATAGCCAAGTCGATATGGCCATGTCCGTTTGTCCGTATGTATGAACGCGTCGATATCAGAACCTATAAGAGCTAGAGACTTTAAATTTCGAACGTAGGTCCTCCAAGGGACTGCGCAGTGTGACATTTAAGCCATAATTTTAATGATAAAGAGATTTTATAGAATTTCATTGAACATATATCACCTCTCGTAAAAGAGGAAACACTATAAGAAAATAGTCATCTTAGTAAATGAATAAAAGTGCAAATTGCCTTAATCAAATTTCAATATCTTCTGCGATATTACCATGTTATATTACGGTTTTTTAAGGAATTTTACGATTTTGGGCATGGTACAAATAATATTAATTTTGTCATGAAGGATACATCTCATCTCTCTAAGTATATATATTCTAGATCAGCATCAACAGCCGAGTAAGTACAGCCCGTCCGTCTGTCTGTTTGTTTCTATGCGAAGTAGTCTCTCAGTGCTAATGCTATTGTCTTAAAACTTTGCATAGGCTCGTCTTTCTGTTGCACGCAGTAGATATTTTGGGACCGACAGAATCGAACCAATATATCATATAGTTGCCATAGGAGCAGTCAAAAAGTAGGTTTTGTATAACATTTTTGTTTGTTCATCAAGATATTTTAACCAAACTTGGAATTTATTAGTTTCACTTTGCGCCTTATATGTATGCATAATCTTATCAGCATGGGATCACTATATCATATAGCTGCCTTAGGAACGATCGGTCGAAAATTAATGATTGTATTTTAACAAATCTTGAGCAAACTCTGCATTTATAAGTTTTACCACAGACAGTATAAAAACTATGATGAGTAACGCACATACATTTGAATGCGACGCAAACTTTGTATCTTGGCAATACATTTGGCTTTCTGCTATTCAAACAACACGCCAGCCGACTGGCTCTCCAAGGCCACGCGAACGAATGCGGAAAGCGCAGCTTGTTTATACTGACACGAACAACGAAGTCAGTTGCCATCCTGGCTTCAGTAAAGCTGGTTGACAATGGTCGGCGTCTCTTCGCTTTCGGGGTACATTGCGCGAAAAAGTGTTGTACATACGATCGATTGATTTTACTTTTATTTTTGCACAGTGTATGCTGAAGAGAAGCTCTTGTGTCAGCCAATGGCGTACAAGTATCGAAGAAATAAATTTTGTTAATAATTAATAGCGTTGACCATGATGGAAAATCAGTATTTTTAAGTCGATGCTAATATTTAGATAATTTATATAATTTAATTATTTATATAATTATTATTTCCCAACAAACATAAGCTCATATATTAAATTAAAATAATGAATTAAATTAATATATTAAATTATTCCTTTAGCACATGCAATTTGTAGCAATTTCGCTCGACCGCATTTCGGTTTTTCGATTTCGTTTTCGAAAAAGTTATAACTTACGATCGACGTATAGTACTTTTGCTTTATCCATTAAATGCATGCTTTATTTGAATGAGACAGATGTTGCGTACTGAGAAATTATATAAATCTTTGCATCAACTTTAAAAACCTCAGTACACAACATGCGTATACAAATTTGGGATAGGTCATGCATGATCAGCGTTAGAAATCGAACAAAATTTATTTCTTTGACAGCTAAGCACATTCAAATATGCCGTTATGTATGTATATTCACACTCGTACATACATAGTTGCTTGCACGGCCTTCATAGAGCCGAAGCTGAGAATACATTCTATTATTAGCTTTTCGCTCGTTCGGCTGTGAGAGCGCAATGATATTGATTTCGTTTTCTTTTTTCGTTTCTCAATTTTCGAAAAAGCAAGCTGCATAGTAGCATTTTGTTGTATGGCGTTACTCATCTTAGTTTTTATATTGTCTTTGGTTTTACCATGCTACCTACACATATACACAATGTTAAACAAGAATCTGCTACCTACACATATACACAATCTTAAACAAGAATCTCAAAAGATCCGTCAAAAATAAGATTTTGTATAAAAAACTTGTTGTTTATTAAGGTATTTTGACAAAATCGGGTATTTATTGGTTTCACTATGCTCCTCATATATATTCAAAATCCAATCAACATTGGACTACTATATCATATAGCTGACATAGGAACGATCGGTCGAAAATTAAGTTGCTGTATAACATTTTTTTCTGTTTTTTAGGATATCTTGAACAAACTCGGCATTTATTAGTTTTACTATGCTCCCCATATTTATGCAAAATCATATCAACATCGGACAACTATATCATATAGCTGCCATTGGAACCATCGGTCGAAAATTAAGTTGCTGTATAACATTTTTTTCTGTTTTTTAAGATATCTTGAACAAACTCGGCATTTATTAGTTTTACTACGCTCCTCATATATATGCAAAATCCTATCAACATTGGACTACTATTTCATATAGCTGCCAGAGGAACGATCGGTCGAAAATTAAGTTGTTGTATGGAAACCTTTTATGTTTCTCAAGATATCTTAACCATACTCGGCATTAACTATTTTCCCTGTGCTTCTTAGATACGGGCAAATCAGTGTGAGCATTATGAAAAGGTTGGGTCTGCAAGAGTATTAAATCTTCGGCATGCCGAAGAATGCCCTTCTGTCTCGTTTTAATTCATTTGTTTTTCGTTGAAACTAAATTTTTGATATACATAGCTGTGGATTATGAGGTGATGGAAAATGGTTCGGTCGGTTGAAGTTAGTTGTAAGTTCGCAGGAGGGGGGCTTTTCTTTTAAATTTATGTTCAAACAAACGATCGCGTAACCCGACCTGCATTTATTGTTGTTCAGGGTATCCCCTAGTCGGGAGTGCCAGACACTTTTACTAGTTTTTTTTTGTCAGCTATATGCACAAAACTCATGTATGATTCCTGCTACTGATTAACATTTGAATTAGATTTCGTGTAAGCAAATCTAAATAAGTTGACAGAACGAACGAATTTGTTTGTTTTAACAGTTGGCCACGGGAACACAAGCACCGGTAAATGTTTTAGTGTGACAAGGATGCCCTTACTTTTATGGGCACATTTGCTGTAAACACAGCTGATCGGCAAAATCTTAATTAAAACTAAATCAGTTTAAAGAATCCCACTTTATTTGAAGAACAATTTTGACACCCTTATAAATAAAGAACAAATAATGTTTTTCAATCGCAAACGTGTACAGGACCTAAATCAAACTGAAAATGTTCGGTTAATCGAGCTCGGATTCAAAATATTTATATTTTTGATCAGCATCAATAGCCAAGTCGATATGGCCATGTCCGTTTGTCCGTATGTATGAACGCGTCGATATCAGAACCTATAAGAGCTAGAGACTTTAAATTTCGAACGTAGGTCCTCGAAGGGACTGCGCAGTGTGACATTTAAGCCATAATTTTAATGATAAAGAGATTTTATAGAATTTCATTGAACATATATCACCTCTCGTAAAAGAGGAAACACTATAAGAAAATAGTCATCTTAGTAAATGAATTAAAGTGCAAATTGCCTTAATCAAATTTCAATATCTTCTGCGATATTACCATGTTATATTACGGTTTTTCAAGGAATTTTACGATTTTGGGCATGGTACAAATAATTTTAATTTTGTCATGAAGGATACATCTCATCTCTCTAAGTATATATATTCTAGATCAGCATCAACAGCCGAGTAAATACAGCCCGTCCGTCTGTCTGTTTGTTTCTATGCGTAGTAGTCTCTCAGTGCTAATGCTATCGTCTTAAAACTTTGCATAGGCTCGTCTTTCTGTTGCACGCAGTAGATATTTTGGGACCGACAGAATCGAACCAATATATCATATAGTTGCCATAGGAGCAGTCAAAAAGTAGGTTTTGTATAACATTTTTGTTTGTTCATCAAGATATTTTAACCAAACTTGGAATTTATTAGTTTCACTTTGCGCCTTATATGTATGCATAATCTTATCAGCATTACCACTATCAAGTGGTATAACTCTGTAGGAAAAAAAGTTGTTGTATACGGGTGTAAAATTTAAGGCGTACTGAAGATATCTTCGCTTTCTCTGTTTGTGATTAGCTTACATTGCAAATATATAAAACTGTTTTTAATGACTGACTGATTGAAGATGAACCCTTAGACCAAACGGTAAGATCTGGGAACCCATTTTCAGATCTTTGTTCAAATTCTTTTGGAAAATGTTTCCTACATTTTTTAAAATCTACTCATCTTAGATGGAATATGAGAATCATAGGTTGTAAAAACGAGAGTTTATTTTTCGGCTTCACTTTGGGGGTAAAATGGGCGGAAAATGTTGATTCAAATTCTTCTGATTCCTAGATCAAAACGCTTATACAGACGGACGAACAGCTTGTTGGAAAGCTATATTGACTTGATTATTGTTGCTTATGAATGGCTTATTGGCTCTATGGTTCAACCAAGTGCGCAGAACTGTGAATACGGGGAAACGGACGAGTTGAAAGGTCACCCAAATCGCTGTCTTCAACCATATGATGTTATGTAAAATTGTATATAAAAAAAATTATATATTTAGGAAATAGTTTGTTGACATCTACCTTTGTAGTACCACAGCCGTGCTTTTGTGTAGTCTGTGAAGGCCATTAAGTACTGCCACCGATCCGGTTTTTGCTGCCCGGACCAATGGGGAATCCCGCCAAATAGTGTCACCTTCCACGTTAGTTATGCGTTGCTGTAAAAGATCCGACGATGTCATATCCTCATAGAGCATCATAAGTTCAGGGGATTGATGCAGTAGGTGCAAAAGCTGTTTTGTCAGTGTTAGTTTGCCAACACCCCTTTTGCCCAACAGACAGACATCTCCAACTGCATAGGATTGCACCAGACTAGAAAGCACTTGGCGTTGATGTGGTAGATCCACAAAGTTTCTGTTTAAAAGCGCAGTTGATCCACAAGGCATGCGTAGGTGTACCTCGTCCAGATACACGTCTACAAAGTCATCTTGAGCCTGGCTGCTTATACGATGTACACTCTGCGTGGATATATGCTGAAGCGACATACTCGTAAGTAGTTCTTTAACACGTTTCTGCTGATCTGGCATTAGTATGGATTGAAACGGATACAAGACTAGTAAGACATCTTGCAAGGTAAGTTTTGGATTTGCTCCCTGAGGGTGGATGTAATAAAATACTTAATTGACATGATCTGAGTAAAGCCTGTGATTTACCATCATCTTAACGGCTAGTCGAAGATTATGTAATGGAAAATCTGGAAGTTGGAGCGCTTCACCAGCTGTTTCGAGTGTTAACGCACAGGTAAGCAACTGTCTAAGCCGTGGGTCAGGTACAGTGGGCGTTATCTGCTGTAGCTCCTCGTACAACTCCTGGAAAGTATATGGTAATATGTTGCGCGACTGAAAACGCGACCTTAGCGGGGGATCAAGTGGTGTGCCTCTATATTTCTGTATGGGAAGTCCAAGTGCCACTATGCGAAATTGTTCCGAGACCCTTAGTAAGCCCCAGTCATCAAGTTGTCGCTGACTGTGCGCCTGCAAGTGGGGATGGGTATTAAAGTTCTATTAAAAGTTGACTTGATCTACACACACCTTTAGCAACTTATCGTATCGTTCTGGTGCCATTAGAAATTTACCACTTTCTAGGTGCATTTCACGATTCTCTAGAAGATTGTTGAGTACCGGCAAAACATTGCGTTCGGCATGCTCAATGCCGTCCAGCACCAGCACTCGGCCGTAGAGTGCAGCGCGTACTGCGGCCTGATCATGGTATTGGGCAGATTTCTTCCGAATCTCACGACGTTGCTTTAGATCGCTTTCGGTTGTATCACGAGAAAGCGCCACATATTCAAGTTCACGTTCCGTAATTTCCAAAAACTGCATGACCAGTTGTCGCCTCAATGGCCCTGGTCCACCCAACAGAAACATGTTTTGTTTCAGAGAATCTTTTTGCAGCATCCACCGCAGATGGTGAAGTGCTGTTTGAGCCAACAGGACCGTCCCATCATGTGCGTAATTTACTATAAATGTAGACATATTGTAGATGTAGGTAATATAAATTTTATATATTAGTGACTACGAAGCTTTACTATATTTCTGGGGCACCAGATGTAGGTCCTTTGGCTTTATTATTTGCACGTTTACATCGCCAATAGTTATCTGTTTTCCATCTACATTTTTACATTCCTTGACTGCTATTGCACAGCCTCTTGTCCAGGCAGTCTTTTGGAGCATATGACGCAATAGGCATCCGTCACGTGATAGAAAATACAATAGCATGGCGATCTGTTTTCGTTTTATTCCCACCTGGTAAAATAACAAAATGAAACGAGGTGGAGTATTAGCATTTTACACGAATGCCATTCCAGGCACGGAGCCTTCTTAGTTTATTTAATATTCGATACTTTGGAATCCTCGTCAGATGTAGGGATGAGCGATATTTACTCAACCCGTTACAAGTAACTAGTACTTAAAAGTAACTAGTTACTGCTGTTACACCTTTCGTAAGTAGAGGCGACAAAAAATTATCCTTTGTCATGCACGGAAAGTAAAGCAAGGGTCTACTTTTTGGTCAATGTTTACACATAAGATTGACACCGAATATTTCACTAAGAAATTACTACGACGATATGACAAATGACTGGATCAATGTCAGAGATATGTTATATATATACGTATATGATATATATTAATATAATGTTAGATATGTATACTTTTATTCATTTCAAAAACATGCAGTTTTTTTAATTTGTATGGTTGCTGACTTGTTGCTGCTGGCCTATTATTAGTACTTGTTGTATAGTTGAAGTCTTAATAACAGATTCTGTACTCAGGGTGTTACTTTCGTACTCGTCAAATAACTGAGTACTATCACTAACCAAAAAACATATAGATGGGACATGCAGTGGAAAAGTTTTGGTCACCAAAAAAGATATGCATCTGGTCCAACGAGCGAGTAAGATATACATATGACATCTTTTGATCGCCCACACTACAGGAAACTCCTTTGGCTTACTCTCTTCCATATGATTTGTGCGATAGAACGGCATCGCTGTTTATTTTTATCTCGCTCGCACTTACTCTCAGTGCTCTCAATGCTCTCTTTATGCCTAGGTACCGTTTAAATGTTTGTGTGTGCATGTGTCCGCACA